TGCCCACCCAAGGTCCAGGCTCCACTGGGTGAGGGAGCCAGGCTGGCCAGCGGGGCTGCCGCCGCCCAGGCATGCTCTCCTCGCCTTCTATCTCATTGTTTCACAACCAGTTTTACACACGTGACCTCCTTCAGCCAGACAAGCCCTGCACGTGGCAGGGCAGTGAGCACGAACGAGCTCCCGCCACAGGGGGCGAGGCTGGTGGTGCGAGGCCCGGCTGTGAGGAGTGGAAACCTACCCACAGAGCTTCACACGCAATACAAGGAGCCCCACCTTCACCCTCACCCTCACCCTCATCCCCACCCCACAAAGTGGCAGTTCAGGGCTAATGACGGATCCCTGGTCACCAGGAACCCAGGGCCCGTCTCTACTGCTGTCTCAGACTTGGTCCCTTAACCATCACTTCACTGTCCGAATGGCTGGGCAGTAAGCCCCGCAGGCCACGCCACCCCTACCCCGTGAGCGCACAGCCTCTGCCTCCCTCAATGGAAGCACCAAGGGCCAAGTTCCTGGGAAGAGGAGAAAACAGGGGAGGAGGGCAGCAGGTCAGAGGGTGGAGGGCAGAGGGCAGAGGGTGAGGGCACAGCGGAGGCTTCCTCCCCACAGCATGGCCACTTCTACAGCCCAGCCCTGGGGGCGGGGGTTGCGGGGGGTGAGAACCTACAGCAGCTGTGGGTTTGCAGAACTCCCTGCCTCACAGCACAGGGTGTGTGTGTGTGTGTGTGTGTGTGAGGGAGACAGACAGACAGGGACATGGACACACGGACACACACACACACACACACACACACGCACACGCCGGCCGATCCCAAAGACCAGAGACGCCTTTGTCCAGGTGTTTACTTTACTAGAGAAAACACAGGTTCTTACAGCCTCTGCCAGGTCCCATCACTTCAGTTCCGCTGCAGCTGGGAGTTCCCTCGGGAGTTTCTTCTCCTCGGCCCAGTCCACTCTCCACGTGGCGCCGTGTGGTGCAGCGTCTAGGGGAGAGGGCCGCCGTGTGGTGCAGCGTCTAGGGGAGAGGGCCGCCGTGTGGTGCAGCGTCTAGGGGAGAGGGCCGGTGGGAAGCAGGAGCCGTCTGGTCAGCAGCGCGGACGCCCCACTCGCTCAGCGCAGTGCTCATGTGCAGCCACTCTGGCTCCGACACCACTGAGCTCACCCTACATAATAAAGAGCTAATATGCAAATGGTTGTCACGCCCTCATGCCAGGGCCGGGGGACCTGAGGCCGTGCCCCCCCACTCCATGGGGCTTGACAGGGGATCTGAGGCTATGCCCCCCACCTAGCAGGGCTTGACGGGGGTGGGGCAGGCCAGGTTGGGTCTCACGCAATTTTGAGGTGCACGTGGGTGGGCGGGGACTTGACTCTGGGTCCCACAGTGCCCCCCAGACTCTGACAGGAGGGAGATTTTCATATACATTTTACTAATTTTCTTTCATCACTGACTCTTCTATTATAGAGAAAGGGCAAATAGCAATATTAAAATATTTCCTCTAATTAATTCCCTTTTAATGTGCACAAATTTTGTGCACCAGGCCACTAGTCTCTTATAAACGTACTTTCTTTTTTTCATTTTCCAGAAAAGGGTTTCCGCCCATACTTTCGGTATCACGATTTTCTTTCTTCCCAAACCCCCAGCCCCCAGCCCAGCTGTCAGG